ACATCAAAAATAAAATAAATATTTACCTGTACAAAAATTACACCTCTGTATAATATGTTGCATACCATCAAGACAGGTTAAAATAGGATAGACACCTAAGGAGAGGCTCTAATATAGTATTTCTTGTAAAGAAAGATAACATCAATTTACACCTAATTACATATTAATTACACTGTTTTTTCTTTCCATTCTCTGTATGAGTTAATATACACCAGTAAAACATGCCATCAATCAAGTTTTACTATTTTTACAACAAATTTTAAAAATTTTATGATGTATATGTCCATAATTGTATATTTTAATGTGTTGTATAAATGTTGAGTGTTCAATGCTTACAAAAATAATCTCAACGACTAGTAAGTTACACTGAAGAATTGTGATATTTTTTAAATATTTACATAATTGTCTTTTACAGTGTCTTGAAAAAGGAATAAAATCATTCCGAAAGCTCGACAAAAAGTCAAAAGAGTGTTTTTTATTTAACATCCCGGCCAATATTCTGACTGCAACCCTAATAAACTGTGTTGTTTGTTTATATCGCCAGTCAATAATATCCAGTATTTCTTATATATATATTATATATATATATATATATATATATATATATATATATATATATATATAAATATATATATAATATATATATATATATATATATATATATTCAATCGGTTTTAAAACGTCTTGCGACGTTATCCGATCCCTAATTTCCATGACACTCTATCATACCATTGGCCGTCTCTAAGATCTCTTGCGTTCATCGCCTTCGTTACTTCCTCTCTTCAAGATTTCTTGGGTCTTCCTCTTTTTCTGCTGTTTGGTGGTACTCATTGCATAATTATTTTTGGAAGTCTTGAGTTATCCATCCTCTAGACGTGTCCGTACCATATCAGCTGTTTTCTTTCTATGTCTGTTGTTAGAGAGCCATCAACCTCCATTCGCTGTCTTATCTCATCATTACGTATTCTCTCTCTGCGTGACACTCCTACTGATCTTCTAAAAGCGTTCATTTCCAATGCCTCCAGTTTTCTTCTGTTGTTTTCGGTTATTCGCCAAGTTTCCGCTCCATACAATAGACTGCTTTTAATAAGAGATTATGTATATTGTGTTTTCTTCTTTTTCCTATTTCATGACTCCACAGTACGTTGTTTAGACAACCTATTATCTTTCTGGATTGTATTATTCTTCTCTTTATTTTTTCATCATCTTTCCCCGTTGTGTCAAAAACGATTCCTAGGTATGTGTAATGGTTGCAGGGCATGATCATTTCGTTATTTTCTAATGTAATGTTCGATAGTTCGGTACCTATTGGCAGGTATTTTGTTTTTTCTGTATTAATTTCTAGTCCCCACTTTCTATATTTTTCTTGTAATTTCCTTGCCATGTACTCCAGATCATCTTTATTGTTTGCTATTACAACCTGGTCATCAGCAAACTGCAATGTATACAAGCAAATCTCTTCAAGGTCTACGCCCATACCTCTGCATTTTCGTTTCCACTCTTTCAATGCTTACCGAAAGTACAAGCTGAATATGGCCGCATAAGTCAAGAATATTTCTGTTTGGCAGTGTTGGCATGTTTTTATAATGCACATGTATGCTTCAAATATTAAGAAGTAAAGAGTAGATATTTGTCTCTTTTGAGATTAATTGCAAACATCTGTTGTAATCTGGCAACTACTGATTTGACGATTGCCAAATCTATTCCCTAATCTATCAAAGGGTAATTGCAAAATGTACTTTTCTAAAGCTTTATCTTTTTATATTTGTAGCATACAGCATCTACATTTTAAAAATATGCCAACACTGCTATATCGAAATTTTTGTTCCATGTTTTACATTTGCGGATGCAATCAGCTTGTACTTTCGGAAAACTCAACCGTTTTTGGTTTTATGTTTGTAAAAAATTTACGCTCGAGATTTGACAAGAAGAGAGTTAATATGAAACAGCAATCATAGATACATTCGATAGTAATTACCTTTTCAGTGATTTCCTATGCAAGGTCTGTTCTCAATTTAAAATTAAGAGTTTGTATTACTGGGAAGGAGGAGATTTACAGATGACAGATGTCTAATTTACCTTATATAAAAGTAATTTTTAACAATCTCTAAAAATTATTACTGACTAGGAAAACAAAACCAACAGAGGTTAAACAAAACCAACCGACCTACACCACGTGACAAAACGAAAAATAATTAGATCTATTCTGTAACTTTTGACAAATCGAATAGAAATCACCAAGTCGAATCGTAATTACTCGAAATCGGAATGTTGGATATCTATCGCGTCGTTTTTGTGTTTGGATTGGCATTCTGTAACTCACATCGTAATCGGTGTAAATCGAAAACGTCAACTTCTACTTGACGCGCTCAGAAGTTGGTGGCAACCCCGCATTGAAACGCGAAAGAAGTGTTCTGTGACGTTAAGTTACTGGAAAGGCTAGTGCTCGCGAAAAATTCATCAAAAAAGAAGATTATATTTCACGTCAAGTAGTTTTGACATGTTTTGGTTAAGTTTGAAAAGTTCGTTACAAGAATACAAAATGGCAAGCGGGAAAGCAAAGAAAAAGACATTTGCTGATCAGTTAAATTATTTAGTAAACTTTATCTAAATAAATAACACCACAGACTAAAAAATGAAGTAGCTACAAAAATTAATCAACCGCTAATTTAGATCAAAAAGTCAACAAATAAATGTCAAAACAACCAATGCGCAAGCGTCAAGACCAATTTCGATGTCGAAATTTGATCTCGACAGAGCTTGTCTAGTCGAAATCAATTTCTACACAACATTCCGATAGTAGAGGTCGAGATGAGTTACAGAATACCGATTCCTACCAATTCCGATCCGACTTGCTGACTTCTACTCGATTTGACTCATTTCTATTCGATTTGTAGTTACAGAATAGGGCTGAATAGTACATTGTTTACCGGGTAGGAAAAGCTTAACATTCCTGGACGACTGTAAAGATTGCTAAGTCGAGGCGCAAACCGAGACTTAGCAACACAGAGTTCAGGAATGTGGCTTTTCCTACGAGGTAAACATACTATTTTTCCGCAAATCGTTTAAAATTCGACAGATATTGATTGATTTAAAAAAAACGCGATAATTTTATTCCCAAATAAATGGTGCTTTGAAATTCCTAATAAAATTACTTGGGTTACTATGGAAACGTATTGAGGTTGAATTGTCAAACTTGACGCTTATAAATTTAATTGCTGGTGTTCTCGAAAGTAAAATGATAAGTGATGATGAAATTTCCATTCCTGGGACTCCTCCAGAGCTGGTTGAGGCAGTGAATACTGCTTCATTAGAATTATTGCCAAAGAAATCAAGAGAAAAGTACGAAAATGCATACAGACGTTTTATGGATTATCGCATGAGTAAAAATACGAGTTCTTTCTCAGAAAATGTTGTAATGGCATACTTCCTAGACCTTTGTTTAAAGATGAAATCTTCAACATTATGGGCCAATTATTCAATGCTGAAGTCAACCCTTGCACTTAAACACAATGTAGATATATCTACATACTCAAAACTTCGTTCTTTATTGAAACGGCAAGCTCAAGGTTATAGGGCAAAGAAATCTAAGATTTTAACGAAGGAAGAAATTGAAAAATTTATCCAGGAAGCTCCAGATAAAGAAAATTTAATGATTAAGGTAATTTACAAGGTTTTAATTTCTATTTAGATTATAGCTTTATTTATTTTTTAGGTGGCTGTAATATTTGGTATTTCTGGGGCCTGTAGAATGGATGAGTTAGTCCGAATGACTGTACACGATATAGAAGACTTAGAATCTAAGCTTTTAATCAGCATACCTGATTCGAAAACCAACAAACCAAGATCATTTGTAATTAATCAGATCTACTTGAATGTTTATCGAAAGTATGTTTCGTTAAGACCAGAAAATATGAACAGTGACCGATTTTTCTTTAAATATCAAAGCGGAAAGGGTTGTAGACAAGTGGTAGGAATTCATCAATTTAGAAAAATGCCCAAAATAATTGCTACTTATTTGAACTTGGTAAATCCGACAGAATATACTGGTCACTGCTTTCGTCGGTCTTCTGCAACAATATTGGTTGACTCTGGTGCCGACATAACTAGTTTAAAGAGGCATGGCGGATGGAAGTCATCAAACGTTGCTGAAGGATATATCGAAGAATCGCTTAACAATAAGGTTGAGGTGGCAAATAAAATTTTCACAGTACAAAATATTCAACAAAATGACACTTCCACCCTGCATGTTGTCCAAAATGTTTCTCATAGTTCTAAGAGTGTTCCTCCAATGTTCAATAATTGTACTAACTGTCAAATTACTGTAAATATAACAAATTGATCTTAAAAATGTATTCAGCAATGACTTGATGTTTTCAAAATATAAATTAATTCCTTATAAGCAATGTGTTTTCTATCATTTATGTAGAACACTAACAACTGTACGGAAATATCATTTCCTTACAGTAAGGAAATGACATTTCCTTACAGTAAGGAAGTCCTGACTTTTTCTTCAAGAAATTTTGACAGGAATGTCAAAATTTCCTGGCGATTTGCGGAAAAAATATTTTATGCAAATTTCTGCTATAGCTGCAGAATAAATTAAATTTCTACATCACTTTAATTTAACGTATAGCAACACATGACATGGTACCATTATAGTATTTTTATAGAGTACGTTTTAAAAACTAATCTTCTGTTTCTGTACGTTTTCCGAATTTCACACTTGAATGTAATTATTTATGTAAATGACACATCGTAGAGCCCATACTGTCATGACTTCTCGTGATGAAAACGTGATTAATCTTAGCTTGTGCTGGCGGTTTCGCAATCAGGCAAACATGGAAGTTTGATATGGTTTAATAATAATTGTTTTCATTTAAAGTCTATGATTATTATTCCAATATGCTAATTATATTTGATTGTGTTTCTTTAGAATATTAACAATTAATACAATGACTTTTTTGAATCATAAATAATACCGAATTTGTCTGTTCTAGGCGACAGTATGATGACATACTGCAACAGCGGTGGCGGCGGAAGCGGCAGCGGAGGCACGGGTGGTTCACCCACCCCCCAGATTCCATGTTCGAATGCCGCCACCCCGCCAGTGGCAGCAGGCGCCTCCCCTAACGGCGTTGGCACAGGCGGAGGGGAGGAGGACGACGTCTGGCGCGGTCATAGCATCGCGGCGCTCAGGCGTCGAGCGTCCGAACTCAACGCCACCATTCCGTCTTATCTACAAATCAACTACGACGCGCATAACAACGCATCTGTATACTAACTTTTTATCTTTTTCCTTTTTGTGGTTCCTTTTTCTTTGTTCTCGTACGGGAGAGAATGCCCATGTAAATGGAATGTATTGTGAGTCAAAGTGGTTTTGTTAAGATTTTATTTTATTTGTGTACTAATATTGATTTGGTTAGTATTTTATGTCATTAGAAACAATTTAAACATATATTACAGGGTGTATCAGTACAGCTACAGTTAATAAATCATTTACATTCATTTTGAAAAATAAAATTTTACTGTTTTTAAGACGAAATTTGTTTTAACTTATTTTAGCGAAAAGGAAATATTAAAAGATATATGTATACCGACCAAATGGTACACTTTATATTTAAAAAGAGTTATCCTAATGCTAAATTAATTATTGAAAAGGGATTTATAATATATCTATCATTTAATGTCAATATGGTAGAAGCTATGCGAAAAATAAAAAAAAATCAATACTTGTTCTAGCTTAAAGTCGACAAATTGAGAATTTCATTTTATGGTTCGACATTCTTCTTTATTTAGGCTAGGACTAGTCCTGTGATTTCCTCAGTGTTTCAGCAGCATCAGTAAGACGATAAAAATCAACTTTCGTACCATCTCGTACGCCGTCGTCCAGGCTGTCGAGGTGTATTTGGGTATTTTTCTTTGACAATTGACTAACCCATCGCCTGGCATTCTGTTAACATGGTCTCTCCATTCTCATTTTGCCCACTACTACGTCTTAGATACCAGATATTTTTGCATTTCCATGGTTCTTAACATTATCTTCGTTGTGGTGTTGTCCTCCCATGCCTTTAGTGCGTAGATAAAGATCGGTCTTACGAATATCTTAGAAATTCTTACTTTAATCTTGGTATCCTGGTATTAGTAATGCCATTGTAGTTTGGACCTTTACATCGTCTATTATATTTCTGGCACTCGCTATATTTACTATCAGGTATTTAAATGATAATATTTCTTCTACGCTGTAATTGTAGATTAGGAGTTTATATTTTTCTGATCTTCTATATACTGTGAAGAATTTCATTTTTTTTACAGTTATTGGTATGTTGAATGCATAATTTATTAAGGTTATAATAGATAGTGTGAAAAAGCCAAATGGAATAAATTCATTATTTAGGTTACTGTACATATTTATAAAAAATCCCGAAACACGTCAAATTTAAATTATAACTTGACATTCTTTAACGTGAAAATGCAACCCCTACCTTCAACCCCCTTAGAATGACAGGTACAACCCCCAATTTTTAAAATAGGAAGTATAGGCTTGTGATATATCGTTTGAAAGGTCTTTTCATTCTCCATTCAAAAATGTTGTCGCTTTCAAGTTTATTAAGATTAATTAAGATAAAATAAATTAAAATCATGTGGTTACCGAAATTCGCTACAATACAATCAAAAACTAAAATGTAATGCAAAACGTAATAAAATGTAGAACACGAAAAAGAACTATGAATGTTAATGAAGTAGATGTTCAAAATGTTCACCGCGAACGTCTTGGCAACATCCTAATCTCAAATAAAACTGTCTTCTAACATTATTTAACATAACAGGCGTGATCGACCTAATCGCAAGCGTTATTCGTTCTTTTAAGTCATTTAAATCAGAAGGTTTAGTTTTGTACACATGGCTCTTCACATATCCCCATAAAAAGAAATCTAATAATGTAAGATCAGGTGATCGCGCTGGCCATTCAATCGATCCTCGCCTCCCTATCCACCGATTGGGAAATATTGTATCGAGGTACTGCCGGACATTAAGTTGGTAATGTGGTGGTGCTCCATCCTGCTGAAACCATATCGTATTCGCTGGAACTTGAGGGTTTCCTGGATCAGGATATAAATTTGCCAACGTTGGAATGACATCATTTTGAAGTAGTGCCAAATAATTGTTGCCATTCAAGTTGCCCTCAATGAAAAAGGGACCAATGATATTGTTTCCTACAATCCCTGCCCAAACATTAACCTTTTGAGGGTATTGAGTGTGTTCTTCTCTCATCCAGTGAGGATTTTCCGTGGCCCAGTAGCGGCAATTTTGCCGATTAGCATGACCGTTAAGTGAAAAAGTACACTCATCAGAAAACATAACGTCCTCTAATTGGATAATATTGTTATCCAACATGTCCATCATTTGCTCACAAAAAAAGTTCTTCTATCAAAATCGTCTTCCATGAGCTCCTGAGTAGGTATCATTTTATAGGGATGCAATTTATTTTCTTTTAATATGTTTACTATCGATGTATGGCTAGCGTTGCATGTAGTGGATGCCTGTCTACTCGATGTGTGTGGATTTTCTTGAAACTCAAGCAATACATCTAATTTGAGTTCATCACTCAGTGCATTGGTAGCTGCTTTTTTATCAGCCTTACATGACCAAACTCACGAAACTGATTCTCTATTTTACTTGTGTTCTTCTCTCATCCAGTGAGGATTTTCCGTGACCCAGTAATGGCAATTTTGCCGATTAGCATGACCGTTAATTGAAAAAGTACACTCATCAGAAAATATAACGTCCTTTAATTAGATAATATTGTTATCCAACATGTCCATCATTTGCTCACAAAAAAAGTTCTTCTATCAAAATCGTCTTCCATGAGCTCCTGAGTAGGTATCATCTTATAGGGATGCAATTTATTTTCTTTTAATATGTTTACTATCGATGTATGGCTAGCGTTGCATGTAGTGGATGCCTGTCTACTCGATGTGTGTGGATTTTCTTGAAACTCAAGCAACACATCTAATTTGAGTTCATCACTCAGTGCATTGGCAGCTGCTTTTTTATCTGCCTTACATGACCAAACTCGCGAAACTGCTTCTCTATTTTACTTATTGTTCCTTGGGATATAGGCGGTAAATTAGGAAATTTCTCATGAAATAGGCGAGTTACTTCCTGTTGTGTTCGGGTGTTATCTCCGTAACCAATCATTTGTAAAACTGTTATTTTATGCATTTCCGTTAATCTAACCATTTTTCAGAATTGAATTGAACGAACTTTTTACTTAAATTAAAATACTGACAACTTAAATAAAACAATTTACTAATGCGTGTTAAAATAACGTTGCCACGGAAATTCTTTAAAGTTTTTTAATGGTTACCATCTAAAAACCACATTGCTATGGTTTTTGTTCACTTTCTCATTATCAAGACCTAAACGGGAAATAAGTTTTGAGTATATTTTAGCGAATTTCGGTAACCACATGATTTTAATTTATTTTATCTTAATTAATCTTAATAAACTTGAAAGCGACAACATTTTTGAATGGAGAATGAAAAGACCTTTCAAACGATATATCACAAGCCTATACTTCCTATTTTAAAAATTGGGGGTTGTACCTGTCATTCTAAGGGGTTGAAGGTAGGGTTGCATTTTCACGTTAAAGAATGTCAAGTTATAATTTAAATTTGACGTGTTTCGGGATTTTTTATAAATATGTACAGTAACCTAAATAATGAATTTATTCCATTTGGCTTTTACACACTGTATAGTTCATAATAATTAGGACAGGTAAATAAAAACAATCGTTGAATTAAGGGGAGAGTAGGTTATTTATTGCGTTTTTTTAAATTTTTATTTGATAGTGTAACTATTCAAGAGTATCCAGTTAAAATTTCAGAGTGATCGAAGCAAAATTTATAGAGTTAAAGGCATTTAGGAGTGAGTGAGGTGAGGTGAATGATTTTCTTTCATTAGTAGTATCTGTTCTAACATCCATCCTTTATGTTTTTTTCTTTGATTTTTAGTTTTTATTTGCTGTTTTAATTATTGCTATTTTTTCAGTTCTTGGGCAATATGTAAATTTTCTGTAAGCGTTTTTAAAGTTTGTTTCTTTGTTTGTGGTTCTCTTAATCTCTTAGTATCAATACTACTTTGTATTGGTTTTTAAACGGCTTTAATTTGGCTTTTTAATCAGTCCACTCTATCACAGGCAATAATAAAGTCACTTAAACACATGAAAACTACGCTGGTAAATTCTATGGTTTCTCTACTATTTGGCGAATTATAAATATTGCATCTGTAGTTGCACTATTGTTTCTGAAACCTTGTTATTCTTCACAGATTCCTGCAGCAAATACTTCCTCTGCTAGAATGTTGTCGAACAGTTTTAAGTACCGCATTCAAACCAATACCTCGGTAGTTTTGTGGAATTTTTGTCCCTTTTATTAATAATTGGTATCAATATACTAGTTTTTTACACAGACGGTATTTTTTTTTCACTTCAATTATTGTGTTGAAGAGGATATTCATTTCTGTTAATAATGTATTACCCCCATATTTTAGCATATTATTCAATATTTAATCGATGCCATGCGCCTTTCTTTCCTTTAGTTTTCTCGCCTTTTTCTAAGGAAATGATTTAGTTTGCATTCATGGATGGAGTTCTCGTCCTCTTGGTCTATTTTCTGTGTTATCGTGATATTTGCAAATGCAGTGTAAAGATACTTAAAATATTATTTTCATTATTCTGATGTAACTCTTATGTGTTGTATGTACTCATTTATTTTTTCCTAGCTCTTAATGGATTTCAAATTTTCTTTTGGCCTCCAAATAAGTCATGATCCATATCTCTCTAAAGTCTCTCGGATTCTCTCATTAACTCCGTTTTGTATATCTCATTATATGTTGTTATATTTGATCTGAATTGTGGATAGAATGTTCGTTTTTTTTAGCTAATATTTCAACTTCTGCACCAAAGCTTTGTATTTCGTTTTTCGCAGTTTCCTATGGTGTTTTCTTCGAATGCTTTCTCTGGTAACTCTAGTAAATTAACTGGATTCGATACATAAGGATTCTACATTGCGTTTGGTTTATATCATGAAATAATCGTTGCATAATTATTCATATTTTTGTCATCACAAGGTTATGATTGTTGATTTTTGTCCTCGTAAATTTACCAACGTATGTTCGTGTTTGTGGTTTATGTGGGTAGAAGGCATTGTTGATTTTGTGTTAATTTTGTGCATATAGTTGTGTCATTTGTTTTAGTTTATTCTGTCTTTGTTGAATTTA